CTCAAAGAATCCAATCTAGCCACCTAAAATTCTAGAAAGCCTCAGTATATCATAAGATTCTTCTTTCGGTACACCAATCACTTAGGGTTAATATCTTCATGGTGTTCAAACACAATATTGCATAGCACCAGAACCACCACATTGTTTGGTTCCAGTACGTACTACCGAGGCTATCCGTTTGATACACATCTCTATTAGCTCCGGCACCTCTGAGCTTAACCTTTTTATCCGACACCTGCAAGCCTCTTGGTTTGCATTTTTTTATTTGGTCACATGTAAGTTCCAGTACCTCCTTAGATTTCTTATCCGATACTTTTGAGCTATGACTTAGCTCTTTTCCGCAGATTTCCCTTTTGTGTGTCGCTCTATCAACTACATTACTTTCGAGCAATCGGATTTACCTGGTACTTCCAAGCAGTGGTGGTGCTTGAGCCAAAAGCATGGGAGGGCCATGGGCTTCAGGGGCATAGTTGTTTACTGTTGATTTTTAGTGAAAATAGGCCCAATACAAAGGATATAGGCTTGTTTACTTGTGAGCTGGTGTGTGGTGGTGGTGGTGGGGGGGGGATGGCCGAGGTTGGCCCCCATGAAGCTTCGCTACTACTTCCAAGTCAGTTCTATTGCCGTAGAAATGAGCCACATTTGCCATCTGGAACCACCGTTCTACTTTCTCCTAGTAGTTCTGAGTACAGTGTTTCATGGTTGGTTCCAGAACATGCCTTGGTCCTTCAAATGTTGAACGTGTTTGGAATCTCCAAAAGTTTTTTCTTCTAGTACTTATGGGGTAGTTACTTTTAAAACTAGTTTTCTGGACTCTCTCCCCATATATACACCCATGCCCTTCGTGGCTTCAACTAATCGAACTAAATCACAACATACCATTCATCCATTTGCAAGCCAATCAAGCCATTCCACTTCAATTATCTACCACAGCAAGTGAGGAGTATTTGTCCAAGGCAAAGAAAGGAGAAAAAAATGTTGGGTGATTCCATGAATACTTGTGGATTCTTGAAGACCAAGAACTTCCCCCTTTCTTTAATGCCTACACCTCAAGTTCATATCTTTCAACACAATTCTATCCTTGTGAGAGAAATTCCAAAACAGGCTTTCAGATTCCTCCCGGAGTAAAATCTAAAAGGAGAGAAAACTTGTTCAAACCCTTGTCCAGGGTCTATTTGGACTTCAAATCAATTGTTTACTATCCATATAAATGATGTTGTCTATCTACAACGACAGCAAAGAGTTGCTGTGGTGCAATGGCTCGCTCCTTGAGTGTCCGTGGCATCGTGTGGAGTTCGAGTCCTGCTGCCGTGAGGTTGTTTTTGCTACATTTCAATTTATTTCTGTGCCACTTACAGGTGGGCCTCATACAGCAACGGACGGAAATGTACGTGAAATACAAGTTGTAAGACTGATTTGTATCATTTTTTAGTTTATACATGAATCTGTACACACGTTTATGCATAAAAAGTGTAATTAACTCAACAAAAAAATGTTGATTAGTCAACTATGTTCGTGCCATCGCTCCTTATTTTCTGAACACGGTACAAATATAGACGTTTATACATATGCACACATACACTCATGACTCATCCCTATGAACACATAGTAACTATGAGCACCTCCGAGGGACTGAGCCGGCACATCATCCTAGGATTGATGAAGTCGTCACGGACATCTTCATAGTCAACGGGAACTTGAACCCTAGTGAGGTGAGGATACCACTGTGTCCTCCTAAGAGCATCTCCACTTGCTATGGCTCCAATCAACATCTTTCAATGGTGTTGTCTGCCTCAAGCTTGTAGTGTGTACTTTATACACTTATGGTGAATCTAAGATTCACAATGAGTATAGGACAACCGTGACACTAAGAGGGGCACAAGCAAAGGTACTTTGGTATGAAACTTCATGGAAGATTCTAAAAGTCCTCAAAGAATCCAATCTAGCCACCTAAAATTCTAGAAAGCCTCAGTATATCCTAAGATTCTTCTTTCGGTACACCAATCACTTAGGGTTAATATCTTCATAGTGTTCAAACACAATATTGCATAGCACCAGAACCACCGCATTGTTTGGTTCCAGTACGTAATACCGAGGCTATCAGTTTGATACAAATCTCTATTAGCTCTGACACCTCCGAGCTTAACCTTTTTATCCGACACCTGCAAGCCTCTTGGTTTGCCTTTTTTATTTGGTCACATGTAAGTTCCAGTACCTCCTTAGATTTCTTATCCGATACTTTTGAGCTATGACTTAGCTCTTTTCTGCAGATTTCCCTTTTGGGTGTCGCTCTGTCAACTACATTACTTTCAAGCAATCGGTTATACCTGGTACTTCCAAGCAGTGGTGGAGCTTGAGCCAAAAGCATGGGAGGGCCATGGGCTTTAGGGGCATAGTTGTTTACGGTTGATTTTTAGTGAAAAATAGGCCTAATACAAAGGATATAGGCTTGTTTACTTGTGAGCAGGTGGGTGGTGGGGGGATGGCCGAGGTTGGCCCCCATGAAGCTTCGCCACTACTTCCAAGTCAGTTCTATTGCGGTAGAAATGAGCCACATTTGCCATCTGGAACCACCGTTCTACTTTCGCCTAGTAGTTTTGAGTACAGTGTTTCATGGTTGGTTCCAGAACATGCCTTGGTCCTTCAAATGTTGAACGTGTTTGGAATCTCCAAAAGTTTTTTCTTCTAGTACTTATGGGGTAGTTACTTTTAAAACTAGGTTTCTGGAATCTCTCCCCATATATACACCCATGCCCCTTCGTGGCTTCAACTAATCGAACTAAATCACAACATACCATTCATCCATTTGCAAGCCAATCAAGCCATTCCACTTCAATTATCTACCACAGCAAGTGAGGAGTATTTGTCCAAGGCAAAGAAAGGAGAAAAAAATGTTGGGTGATTCCATGAATACTTGTGGATTCCTGAAGACCAAGAACTTCCCCCTTCCTTGAATGCCTACACCTCAAGTTCACATCATTCAACACAATTCTATCCTTGTGAGAGAAATTCCGAAACAGGCTTTCAGATTCCTCCCGGAGTAAAATCGAAAAGGAGAGAAACTTGTTCAAACCCTTGTCCAGGGTCTATTTGGACTTCAAATCAATTGTTTACTATCCATATAAATGATGTTGTCTATCTACAACGACATCAAAGAGTAGCTGCGGTCCAATGGCTCGCTCCTTGAGTGTAAGTGGCATCGTGTGGAGTTCGAGTCCTGCTGCCGTGAGGTTGTTTTTGCTACATTTCAATTTATTTCTGTGCCACTTACATGTGGGCCTCATACAGCAATGGACGGAAATGTACTTGAAATACAAGCTGTAAGATTGATTTGTATCATTTTTTTTAGTTTATACATGAATCTGTACGCACGTTTATGCATAAAAAGTGTAATTAACTCAACAAAAAATGTTGATTAGTCAACTATGTTCGTCCCCTCGCTCCTTATTTTCTGAACACGGTACAAATATAGACGTTTATACATATGCACACATACACTCATGACTCATCCCTATGAACACTAGTAACTATGAGCACCTCCGAGGGACTGAGCCGGCACATCATCCTAGGATTGACGAAGTCGTCACGGACATCTTCATAGTCAACGGCAACTTGAACCCTAATGAGGTGAGGATACCACCGTGTCCTTCTAAGAGCATCTCCACTTGCCCTCCCCCCCAATAGGCCCCCAAGGCCATTTTTTATCGCATGTGCTAAAAAACGGCCCACTTGTTGGGATGTAACTATTGGGTATGACCCGCCCAGGAGGGGCTGGGTCATACCACTGGCGACTTAAAGATGAAGATGGCATATCATGAAGCAAGCCTATTGAAGGCCCAAGACTCAAAGGTGACTTGAGGCCCAAGAGGATGAACCGGCATATGTTTAACCTGTACTGTAAGGCAAGCTTAGTTAGTTACCGAGCTCTACATGTTGTGTATGAGCCGGTCGGGACTCTGTAAGCCCCCGGACATCAACCTGTGTATATAAAGGGGTGACCCGGCAGCGGGTTAACTCAAGAAACAACTGATCGAGAACTAGGTCAAGCGTATTCGCTTCCTGGTAATCGAAACCCAAGTAATACAACCAAAAGCAGGAGTAGGCTTTTACCTCATTGAGAGGGGTCGAATGTGGGTAAACTCCCTGTGTCCTTTGTCCCGTTTTAACCCCTTCAAGCTAACCTATAGGCGATGGCTTCATACCTAAGTCCTTTCGCTAGGGCATCTGTCGTGTTAAGTCCACGACACCAGTTGTGCCCCTAGAAGCCCAATTTTCGCCATTTAGGCCCGAGATTGGCGCCAGCGGGACCAGGCCAAACCCGGCATGCT